AAAAAAAAAAAAAGAAAACAAAAGAAATGCCCATACCAAAAAAAATCCTAAAGGAATTGTTCTGCCTGAAAACTGTTGTTTAGTGAAAGCCTAACCATGGCATACCTGCTTTAAAAAGTAGTTCATATCTAATAATCATTTCCTACTAAATGCACTCCGTATGAAATGTTGTGTGCCTTATTTGATCACATCTTCTTATTTAGGTGTTGAAGCAGAAGAAACAAGCAAATGTTCCAAGTCTAGGGTTTGGTGCATTAGTTTCCCCTGGCAGGGAGGTAGCATTAGGTCCTCAAATAATTCAACATGATCCCATTCGCTGTCATAATTGTGGGTCTTATGCCAACCTGTATTGCAACATTTTGCTTGGGTCTGGACAGTGGCAGTGTGTGATTTGTCGTAACCTGAATGCAAGTGAAGGCAGGTATGTGGCTTCTAGCAAGGATGAGCTCCGTAATCTGCCAGAGCTGTCGTCACCTTTTGTTGATTATGTCCAGACAGGGAACAAAAGACCTGGTTTCTTCCCAGTGTCAGACACTAGAGTCTCAGCACCAATTGTTCTTGTTGTAGATGAGTGTTTAGATGAATCGCACCTGCAGCATCTGCAGAGTTCCTTGCATGCCTTTGTTGATTCTCTACCCCCAACAACAAGACTTGGAATCATTTTTTATGGTGGAACGGTGTCAGTCTATGACTTTTCAGAAGACGCTATCGCATCTGCGGATGTTCTTCCTGGTAATAGATCACCAACTCAGGAATCTCTAAAAGCATTGATCTATGGGACAGGGATATACCTCTCACCCATGCATGCTTCGCTCCCTGTTGCGCACTCAATATTTTCTTCCCTGAGGCCATATAAGATTGATAGGCCTGAGGCTTATAGAGACCGCTGTTTGGGCACTGCAGTGGAGGTTGCTCTGGCAATAATTCAAGGGCCATCAGCTGAAGTTTCAAGAGGGGTTGTTAAGAGGCCTGGAGGAAACAGCCGGATAGTTGTCTGTGCAGGTGGACCAAACACATGTGGTCCTGGTTCAGTCCCCCATTCATTTTCTCACCCAAACTATCCACACATGGAGAAAACAGCATTAAAGTGGATGGAAAATCTTGGCCGTGAAGCCCACCGGCAAAATACAGTCATTGACATTTTATGTGCTGGCACCTGTCCAGTACGAGTGCCTGTTCTGCAGCCTCTTGCAAAAGCTTCTGGTGGTGTTCTGATTCTTCATGACGACTTTGGAGAGGCATTTGGTGTCAACTTACAGAGAGCATCTGGCAGAGCTGCAGGCTCCCACGGTGTGTTGGAGATCCGTTGTTCTGATGAAATTTTTATAAGTCAAGTAATCGGCCCTGGTGAGGATTTGCACATAGACAACCATGAGAGTTTCAAGAATGACATTGCACTTTCTGTCCAAATGCTTAGTGTGGAGGTGACTCAAAGCTTGGCACTATCCATGGAAACCAAAAGAGACATCAAGAGTGATTGTGTGTATTTTCAGTTTGCATTTCACTTTTCAGATATTTACCAATCTGATGTCTCCAGAGTGATCAGTGCGAGATTGCCCACAGTGGATAGCATTTCAGCATATCTTGCTAGTGTCCAAGATGAAGTGGCGGCTGTTCTTATTGCCAAGAGGACGCTCTTACGTGCCAAGAATGCCAATGATGCAATTGACATGAAAGGAACAATAGATGAAAGAGTCAAAGACATTGCCATCAAGTTTGGCTCTCAAATGCCCAAATCTAAGCTGTACCAGTTCCCCAAGGAGCTTTCCTTATTGCCAGAATTCTTATTCCATCTTAGAAGGGGTCCACTTCTTGGAGGCATCATTGGTCATGAAGATGAGAGGTCTGTGTTGCGGAGTTTGTTTCTGAACGCATCATTTGATTTGTCTCTCCGAATGATTGCCCCTCGTTGTCTGATGCATCGAGAAGGTGGTAATTTTGAGGAACTCCCTGCTTATGATCTTGCCATGCAATCCGATGCAGCCGTTGTTCTTGATCATGGGACTGATGTCTTCATTTGGTTGGTATGCCACTTGACTTTCTCAGTTCAAACCAAAATCAACAACTACTACAACAGTAATATTTTTGTTATTTATAAAGAACAAACCGGCAGCCTTTTAATGCTTCTCTGAACTCTGAAGGAATGGAGGATACTTGCTTGGGGTGGGGGGTCTCAGCAACTTGCTTTGTGTAATCTTTTGTTGTTGTTGTTGACTTGCTGTTGGTCAGGGTGCTGAACTAGATGCTCAGGACGGGAAGGGTGCAGCAGTGTTGGCAGCTTGTAGGACATTAGCTGAAGAGTTGACTGAAATGAGGTTTCCAGCTCCACGCATCCTGGCATTCAAGGTTATTATCATTGTCATCCTTCCCATAATTCCCACCTTACTGCCTTATAAAATGTGTTTTTCCAAGTGAAATTGTGACTCTCTTTTTTTTAATTTAACAAAGGAGGGGAGTTCCCAGGCACGATATTTTGTTTCTCGGCTGATACCAGCACACAGAGATCCTCCATATGAACAGGTAATTAATATTACTGAGATTTGAGAATATTTATTTTATCATTCATCGTCCGAGAAATTAACAAGAAATGGTTGTTCTTTCAAAAAAAAAAAATCTCATTCTATGTTTGAAGTATTTGTTGATTTGGTAATATTGAAGAACGAAATGTTCTGAGGCCTGAAAGAAGGCGTGGACTTGTTTAATGTTCTTTTTCCCTGGATCTACCACATATGGATCCACGATTATTTCTCCATACAAGTGAAGTAGAAAATCGTTTGGAAGTTAAAAAAACAAAAAGATCCTTGGATAGCTAAATATACAAGGGAGAGAAGGCATTGATAAGTTGATGATGCATTTGAATGATAGGAAGCAAGGTTTCCACAGCTCAGAACACTGACGGCAGAACAGAGAACGAAGCTGAAAAGTAGCTTCCTTCACTTTGACGACCCGAGTTTCTGTGAATGGATGAGGAGTTTAAGAGTGTCGCCGCCTGAACCAAGCTAGGCAGGCAGTC